ACTTTTTGGCTCAGCTCTGGTACTCTCTTCTGTCCCAAGCTAATCGATGCACCCCTCGAAACATAGGAAAATCCACGAACCCCTCATTTTATCTGTAAAACTTTCATAACGATTCAAACCAAACATAGTGTAGTACTAGAATTACAACTAAATTGGAGTACGTCAATCGATGTACTTGGGACCAATAAGCTAGTCAAGTGTGAGCCATATTAAAATCGTTAGTTTCCACCGGTTGGTACAACTCCTAGAATGTTTAAAATTTTCGTCAATTTTCCTCATTTCCGGCAGATTTGTGAGGTTTTGCACAGGAAACCATCAGGAAAATTTACGCATCGCTTAGTTCCTGCACTTTTGGCGATTATGAGTGAACTAAACTCAAATTTGGATCGTTCTCATTCGCCGTGTGGGTGTTGCGCCGCTGGAGCGCGCTCCCTCCAAAAATCAATACGAAACTAACGATTTTAAATTGGCTCACCACTTTAGTAGCCTATTGGTCCCAAGCAAACGATTAACGTACCCTATTCTAGTTGAAATTCTATTACTACACTATGTTTGTTTTGATTCGCTATGAAAGTTTGACAGATAACATCAGGGGTGTGTGGATTCATGCAGAACATGCAGGGGTGAGTGAAATAGCTTGGGACTGCTTGGGACCGTTGTTCTGGTACTGAGTGAGCCAAAAATAATAATGATTTTCTTCGGGACCCAGTGGTCTTAGAGTTACTTCTATGCTCCCTCGTTCGTTCCTTTATCAGCTATTTTACGTGACGTCTTGATGACAGTTCCTGGCGGGCCACTCGAACGCGCTCGAGGTATTGTTATTGTTTACGTCTGATGTTTTTGATTTGATTTTGGTCGTGTTATGTCAACAAATCGGCCCGCTGGTAAACGTCAAAATAGGTAAAGAAAAAAACACGCTTTCCTGCAACGCTCCGCTCAACGATGCACGAACACTGTACCAAACCACCGTCCCCTGTTCGAATGAAACTTCAGACCATTCAAATCGAAACATCGAAATCGCCTTTTCGAATGATAGCTGCAACCGGATGACGGTTGTTTTCAAATCAGATGATTTTCCTCTCGAATACAGGATGAACATTGTTATGAGAAAGGATAGGGCCTTCAGTTGGAATGCGTAATGCTCTTAAATTGAAATGCATTTGGTATTGGTTCAGCCCCTAAATGCAAATCATTCAAAACAATGATGTAAATAATTCTATCGAACGTCATTTACTGCTCTGAGCAGACAAACGAGGTGGAAGCATAGGCATCGCTATCAGAGGTGGAGCGAACATCGGTAAAGCGTGGAAACCATAGATTGTCTATTTCGTGGTGGAGGAAGTTTCCTCTACCAACAAGTAATTTTTGAATCCATGATGAATGGCTGTTCATGGCTATTCAATATGGAAATGTAAACAATCAAATTGATAATCTAATCTAAAGCATTTGTAAGTCATCTTATCCTTAAATTGTTGTCCTCTGAGCCCTGTATGTTTTACAGCCAATTTTCAAATAAATATCATCCTTTATTTAGAGGACAGTCATATAGATGCTCATCAGTTAATGACGACCCTAATAAACGAGAACCATACATGAACGATATCAGAAATCGTCCAACCATATTACATATGATTTGGATGATATCCCGAATAGGTTGTTAGGCGCTTCTTATGGTTATTTGTTATTCGGGAAATTCAACCATAATAAAATCATCCGAAATTTCGATACAAAGGGCTCGAGCAATACAATAATCAGTCGAAATATTGCGGATGTTTTCGTTCAGTGAACAGAACAGTCATTCAGCTATACAAAGTGTCAAAAGATTTCATGGTGGTGTGATCACGTGCTTTAACCATAGAGGTAACTCTAAGACTAGTAGGTCCGGAAGAAACGTGCTCAACTTTTCGGCTCAGCTCTGGTACTCTCTTCGGTCCCAAGCTAATCGATGCACCCCTCAAAACATGGGAAAATCCACGAACCCCTCATTTTATCTGTCAAACTTTCATACATAATAAAAACAAACATAGTTTAGTACTGGAATTCCGACTAGAATGGGATACGTTAATCGTTTGCTTGGGACCAATAGGCTAGTCAAGTAGTGAGCCAATTTCAAATCGATAGTTTCGTATTGATTGTTGCTTTAACTCTCGCATTTCGTGTCGAAGTGTAGATTCAATAGTGATTAATTGTTGTTACGTTGTTGTTTATAAACGTTCATTTGTAACCAAGTCGGGTAGAACAATATTCGCGTTCGGAAAGCGTCGTAGGACAATATCACGGAACATCACGGACTCCTGAAGCTGACACACTCGTCTAGGAAACGCATCAGACGATAAAAAGAACAGGATCGTTCCTATGTTCTCGAGTATCGCTAATTCATTTGGGTATGGATACTCGCTTTGCTAGAATTTATTAGGTTGTAGAATATCACCTTGTTCATTTACAGAACATTTACATAAATTGGGACTAGACCGGTACGGCATGCCAGGTCCTTGAAATCGGATCAGCAGGTTTCAGTTGCGGAAAACGGATTTCATCGAACATCATTCGTAATCTTGTTTGGCAACTCACTTTGGGTCGTTATCCGACATTGTTACGATATGCCCAGCCAACCGTAGTCACCCGATTTTCTCATTCGATCTAAATTTCTTAACTTACAAACCTGCTGCAATGCTACTTAATGATTCAATTCTTTTCTACGGTGGTTCAACAATTTCCGAGCTAAATTCAATCTTTTCAAAATTAGTTTAACATTTTTAGAAGTGAGACCAAATCAAAAACGATTTAGGAAATTCCAAATTGCGGTGACACTTTTCAAAGCAGATTCAAAACTGAGTGAACTTTTTTTAAGTTAGTTCAAACTTTCGAATAAGTAATCAACATTTTTCTAACTGAGTCTAAACTTTTCTGTAATGTTATTCAATTCTTTTTTAAAGGTGTCAAAACTTTCCTGAAGTGATCCAACATATCCCGAACCCAAGCTTTAAAGAATCGATCGAAGATTTCTTGCTTTGATTCAACTTTTTCCGAACTGAATCCAAACTTTTCAGAACGGGTTTGACATTTTCCTAAGTGAGCCCCAGATTTTTGTTAATTGCTTAGGCTTTTGGCAAGGACACAATCTTGTTTAGGTCATCTAGCTTTCCTAAAAGCGTAGAAAGTTTTCCGAAGCTCCGATACTTTTTTGAGCATACATATTCCAAACGGAGTTCAACCTATTCTGAAGTGGTTCAAGACCTTCCTTAGGAGGTCCAAACTTTTCTGTTGAGTGATTCAATTATATTTAATGTTAGTCTGAGCTTTCCTGAAGTGATTTAGTTTACTTTTAACGTAGATTCCACTCCCCTAGACCCCTTCCTCGTTCTTGTGAGATTCACATCCTTTGAAAATTAGGCTGAGATTTTATAAACCTTTGTGTGTTCATACCCAACGGTAGATTTTTTTAAGCAAGCACAATTGTGGAGAAAACTGGGTTTACATCCACAAACGTACTTATTTTTATAGAAATTTGGGTTTCTTGATCAGCCAAGTTGGATTTCGGCTCCGTCCTTTGAAAAACAGGCTTGAAATCTATAGAATAAACCTTTGTGAGTTCATACGTGATGGTAGATTTTTTTGAAGCCAGTTTGGATTTTGGTTCTATCGTTTGAAATTTGTGGTTGGATTTTATAGAATGGAACTTGCTGTATCCATACGTGCAGGACGAACTTGGTTCATATTCACAGAAGTTGGTATAAAAAAAAAAAAAAATCTGAACTGATTCGAACTGAATTATGCCTCTTATTTTTGTATTATTTGTAATAGAACTTGCAGAATCCATACGTGAGAGTTGAATTTTTCAATAATTTTGAAAACCGAGTTTGGGTTTCCTGTTCAGCCAAGTTAAATTTTGGCTCCTTCCTTTGAAAAATAGGCGTGGATTATATAGTATTACTGAATACAGTCGTATTTTCATAGAAATTTGGTTTATGGTTCTGCCAGGTTGCATTTCGGCTCATATCTTTGATAAATAAGATTATATTTTATAGAATGGACTTAACTGAATCTATAAGTGTTGGTTGAACCGGGTTTGTAATTCCCCAGTATTTTTTTTAGAAATTTGGATTTCCTTTTCTGCTAAGTTGGATTTTGATACCGTCCTTTGAAAGTTATGCTTGGATTTTATAGAATGAACCTTGCTGAATTCAAACGTAGTTATGATTTTAAGCCAGGTTTAAATTGACAAAAGTACGTATTTTCATTAAAATTAGCATCTTCAACTATTAAAATTTAGTTTTTATGTTCAGTCAAGATGGATTTTGGCTCCTTGCATTGCAAGGAAGGTCCACCTGAATCCATACGTCTAGTTATATTTTTTGAAGCACGCACAAATTTGGTGTTGATCATCAGCATGACATAAGCGGTAAAATACCAAAGAATAATACAAAAAAAATTGCATGCAAAATACTTTGTTAATAACAAAAATTTATATTTGGATACCTAAAGACTACCTATGTATTGTTATGGTAAATTGCAATTGCATAATTTGGTTTTCGAGTGGTGGAGTTATTTGGTATTATTTTTTGGTATTTTACCTCTTAGGGAACATGCATAAATGACGTAGCATTTGAGGGGGGAGGTGAGGGTTTCAGAATTTGTGACCGTCCATGTATTGGATATAGCCAAATACGCTACGAGGGGGGGGGGAGAGGTCTAAAATTGATCAAAAATATGCAACGTCATTTATGGATGCTCCCTTATGTCAAGCACATTCATACCAATTTAAGGTATCGAGATATTCGTTCCTGCTTGGGAAGCAAAGGTTAAAAAGTAATGTAAATGTTTGAAATATACGGTTTAGATGTGATGTGAAACGAATTTTGAATGTTTTATTTTTTATTTGACTGGTGCGAGCATTGAGCGACAATAGAAAAACTTGCGATTTTTCTGGCCTTATTGTGTTTCACTAAAAAAAAAAGTCTAGCCCAAATATTCCCTCACCTAAGCAACTACATACTTACATTTTCTATTTTTTGGTATCTCCGGCAGCTTGCGCCTTCGCCGTTCGACCTGCCCGGGTATCCACGGCAAGGAACTGGTCCGCGCCAACTGTGCCGACGTCGTGTTGCACAGCGCCAGCTGCATGGAGCATTGATTTTCCTGAGCCATCGTTTCTGCGTGCAAATCCTGTTTGCCAGTGGTATTAGTTTTGAGTCCGTCGCCGATTTCGTCATCTTCGGCGGCACTGCTACTGCTGGTGCTAATGGTCGAGATGTTCTGAATGATTTGCTGCGTCTTGCTGGGGGTTGCCTTCAGCACCGAGTCCGTATCGCTCATCAGGTCCTCATGGTCCGAGCCATCGCTGCTCTTGGACGATGGTGTGTCCTCATCGAGATCCACGTCCGGGACGAGGCTGTGGATGGAGAGTGGAAGTGAAATCAAATTGCGAGAATATACGCTTCGGTTGTTGCAAATTTGGAAACGCCACCGGCTAATGGACTAGGGATGTTAATTAAAAGCCAATTTATTTAGACACCTCCGCTTGTCAATATCAGGTGAACGAACGTGACGAAGTGTTTATGGTGTGGAATTGTAGGGAGGATTAGGTACAGTGTGTCTCAAAGTTTAGCGTACAGCTGTTCATAGGAGCTGTATGTGGACATTTTAATAGACAGATTTTTGAGATTTTGGCTTCTGGCTTATCAAATATTTATCGTAGGGTAGAGAAATAGTTCGGCATAATTTCCCATTTTAAACCTTTCGAACAAAACATATCAAATATTTTCATGATTTCGGCGTAGCCAAGTCAATTATATGTTTGGTAACTTACATTACATCAAAAGTTGCCAAACAAAACCTATAAGAACTCACACCCATTTTTCACAACAACGACAAGCGCTCCGACCGAATCCATTTTACCATTCCATTTTTAACATTTTGTCTGTACCTCTAAATTAAAGCTAAGTTCTTTGTGAAAATCCTTCAAAACGGGTATTAAATCAAATTCGAAATATGTCTCAACTAAGAGGCAGGCGTATCAAGAAGACATTAGCATGTACACATATTTAAGAAAACATCGTTTTGATTAATTATTAAGATTGTAAAAATTGTCTAAGATCATATTGACCCCAAGATACAGATAAAGGGTTAACTTCATTCGTACGCCAAAGTGTATTCAATGGTGTTTCAATGTGTTGGGACGGAATCAGAAGTTGTAGGCCAAGTTTGGGTGTTAGATTTTGAAAATATCTTATCAATTTGTGACTCTAATCTAATGGTATGTATGGAAAGGTAACTCAATTTGGAAAACACTTGTAGTAGCAACATTCCATTTTGTGTAAAAATCCACTCGAAACAGAGAGGCAAAGTGCGGGTGTGCTTAGTAAGCAAAACATTAGATCTAGGTCGGATTGGGACTATCTGGTTGAGAACACTCAGAGTTATTTTGAAAAAAAAAAACTACAATGGACAGCCCTATGGGGTCGTACGCAATGGTGACGTAGAACTACGTGGTCTTATAATAAAAGTTATTTGTTAACTGCAGCAGGAGCTTGTGTTTTGTGCAGGAATAGGAATTTGAGCGGAGTTCTCTCTGTTTATACTCTTTAGTATGACTATGATTGCCCTGAATAGAACCTTTTGATATGAATTTTGGTTCTGTCATGTTCAGAAATTTAACTTTTTTGGAAAATCTTGGTGCCCTGAAAAAGGCCGATGGTAGTACAGGCTTAAAGCCTTTGGTCAAGAGTCTCGGCCCGTCTGCTGCTGGACAGGGGTTAAACTGGTGTCTGCAACAGGTGGGAAGGTCGCAGAATATCAGTGTCCACTCAGCTAAAGCTCCTCCCCTTTTTAGTTTTTCTCGTTGAACTCTTTCTCTCAACAAGTTAGTAAATCTTAGCCTATAGCAGAAAGACGCTTAATACTTTTTTCGGCGAATTTATGATCCTGTTTCACGTCATGGTTCTTCTCTATGCCTGTTCAGATAGATTAGAACTTATATTTATTTTATCTACTGCGCTTAATCAAACGAGTAGAAAGAAGAAGGGATGTCGGTTACGCGCTCGAATAATTGAAAGTTCGATAAATATTTAATCGAATAGCTGGAAATATTTTTACGATTAATCGTTCATCGAATAATTTGACTTTTAGGCATCCCTAGAAAATAGTGTTATTTCATGTTTTTTGGTGATCCTTCGGAAATGTCGAACAGTAGAATTGCAACCAGCAAGTCTAACCCAAGAACCAAAAGCGCTGCGATGCTAGTTTTCATTGCTATGACGACGACTGAATTAAAGGGCTTAGAAGCAGAGGAGTGAAAGTCAATTCTCTTCATCGATTTCCTCTTTTGGTGACCATGGCTTCACTAACCTATTTCGCACTATTTCTGCTATGCTCTTCTATCATCCAGAGCAACAAACGTATCAATGAATGTGTGTGTGCCGTTGAGTTATTAACGAAACAGAATGTCGATGAAGAGAATCGATCAAAATCATTTGCTTTCAAGTTTGGTTACAAGATAACAACTCTGGAGAGCATTTTGTGTGGTTCTGGATATGGCAATGCGTGTGCAAAATGTTACGAAATTTCATCCTTCCTATTCGCACACGCCCGAATATCGGAGGCGAATGCCACTTCGACTTGTTTCGTCTAGAAACGATTCTCTGATGACTGTGTTCGGGAAGCAGCATATGTATGTATGTAATTGGTTGATTTGTTAGTTATTTCGACGCTTTTGGACAATGCTTGGCATATACCACTTTTTGAATTATGAAAATCAATAGTCGGAAGCTATCGATGCGTAGAAATATTTCTATTCGATTGGTGATACAATTATTGAAATTGGTACAGGGGCAGCTGAGTTATTAGCGATCAAAATCTTTCATAATTTCGTTACATGTTCCATTATTGGTTTTCACAACGTATACATTGAAAGTACAGACGTATTCCTACGTCAAAACTCATTTTCTTAAAATACAATTAACCAAACTCTTTGAAATTTTGCTCATGTGTAGCCATAATAAAGATCAACAAGCCAATAATTTTACTAAAATCCGCCCACTAAAAAGGTGAAAATCGAGTGTTATACTAACAGTGTTCTAACGTCAAACAGGCTCTGCCAATAAGTTCAAAACTATACCGATAAATAAAACAAATCTCGATGAACATTTCAAATGGTCCTATCTGCTTTGATCGATTCTCTTCATCGACTTTCTCTTTTCATAACCACTGCTATGCAAACAGATTTCTCGCTAATTCTACCACATAGTTTGATAAAGGAGGTTCTTATCTAGCGTCCAAAACGTCAAATACAACAGGGAAAGGTTTTGCAGCTGAGTTATTAACGAAAGAGAAAGTCGATGAAGAGAATCGATCAAAGCAGATAGGACCATTTGAAATGTTCATCGAGAAATCTATCAATTCACAGTGTTTTAAAAATATATTCATTCTAGTGTAGGCGCAATTTTGCGATGCACTGTAGGTACAATCCCAGTGCAGCGTTTAAGATGGAGGAACGATGTTGGTTTATTGGATGGGAAGTGGAAGATGGGATAGATTATCCCTGGCAGATGATATCAACATACATGTATAGGAGAGTAGAATAGAGCATAGGATATCGAGATACGGATGGCACAGGCAGGTCTGAGTTGTTCTCGATGCGCTATTTTGTACACTTGCTGGATGAAATGAATGCATACATAGTGATAGTAAAAGAAAACTTGTCCTGTCGTTTGTGTGGCGTAATTGCGACTCTAGTGACCTAGTTTGTTTCTCCTCGGCATTGTCCTCGGTAAAGTGAGGTAGGTAATAGGAAAATATTCTGTTGCAGATAGCTTTATTAAAATTTTGATAAATTATGATTTTTTAAACAGAGCTGGTAATGTTGAAAGAACCACAGATCAGCTTTCCAACAGCGTTCTGAGTGGCCGATATTCAATTATACCGCCGCAACGGATATCTACAATCGACCGATGCTGTCGCCAAGAAAACACCAATTCTAAGCAGAAGAAGATATCTTACCTCCCACTCATTCATCCACACGCCACAACGGTGATAAACATGATACAGCACGAAGGAACACTGAGATGGTTGATGTCATCGGAGGAGGTACTAAATTTTCCGAAATCAATACCGTGCGACGACGGTTCGACAACTATAAGGCGTCTGACGTTTTTCAGGACCTTCGCAATCCCTTGCGGGTATTCGAGAAAATTCAGACACCCCCACAATTGCTCGCTCAGTGCAGATGGTGTAAGGCGCGAGCTTTGCTGTGCTCTCGGAAATGTTCATGAATAGATAGATGTCGATTGTTTGCTCTTCTGCTAAAGGCCGGTTACTTTACTGCGATGAAAAGAACTGTTCTGTGTGACTTCCACGACTATTTAGGTTAAACGTGAGGCTGTGTGATGTCACTGCTGCAGAGAAGTTGAACGAAATTCAACGAACGGAACAATGAACAAACATGTTCGGTCTGCTGTGGCGGAAAAGTTCTTTCTTTATACAGCTTTCCCCTGACGAACGCGTTACCTGCTGAGTTCTATGATTTTCTGCGAGTGACACTACTCACATGCAGACCGACTGGTTGATAACCCGCCGAGAAAAAACGATGGGTAGAACTCAGTGGGTAACGCGTTCTTCTGGGGATAGCTGTATACACAAAGGGAGGGCATTTGTTCCACTTGAAATGAGCCTTTTTGGATGTTATTTTCATGCTTCGAATTTAGGCATTTATGGCGTTGACTTTTTAGTTTCAGGGTTTCCAGAGTATGTCAGCAGAGATGTCATACATTACGGTACGGTACGGTACGGTTGGATAAATTGTCCTCTTGGAATTTCGAGTTTTTCGTAGCTTTTCCAACCCTTTAATCTCCGAATTAGGAATGGGGAAGCTATGGATAAAAATTGCCTTCAAATTAAATGACTATTTCACTTTTCAGGGACTGACTAATCGCAATTTTTTTAAATCCGATTTGGAACCAGTTCCAACCCAGTTCGAAAAGGAACTTTTTGTCGGTACGAACCTCGAAACGAGGTAGGTTTTAAAAACAAACGATCAAACTGAAGTTTACCAGAAAATAGGCAAGTTGGAACTGAACCACACACAAATTCGGTATAAGTTTTACGCCTATCATCAATGTAGGTTAGGTTACTTTATAAACTGACATAAGATCAAGCCCTAGAAACTTCCTCAAAGTACCGAGGCTGCAAAATGCGTGTCGATTCATGATTGACATGGCTGGTTATCAACAATGCAATTATCAATCGTTATGATTCAGCCACCATTCGAATGTTGACAGGATTGGTCCTCGGCAATTAGATTACCAAATTTTAAGATTGATCCACTATTGTATGTAGGTATGACTATCTTCTTATGAACGAAGCAGACAGGGATCAGATTTGACTTATGGTTGGCCA